CCAGTATGGTATAAAGAAGGTTATTCTTGGTACTGTACGGGCTATTTAAAAAGTAGAGGAGAGAAGAAAAAAAATCCCGAGCCCCGACCATTTCTTTCCATGGAGAAGAGCCCGGAACGCGCCAGAGAATTACTCACCTGGATCCAAAATGCAATCAAGGCAAAAAAGTTGCGTGATCCTGTCTTTACAGAAAATAAAACGCGTAATGCCTGGCCATTTAACGAATTCTTAAAACAAGAACCTTATAGAACTATACCTAAAAAATTAAGAGATTATGGAAGTAAACACGCTTCCAGAATTCATGGTGGTAAGAAACCAACTCCCCAACATCTTAAACTGCTTTCGAGAATCGCAATGAGGCAAGAATCAGACCACTTTGATGCAGGTGATAATTACACTATAGACAATACAGAATCAGAAGAGTCTGACTCCGAACCAGAGACAAGCGACAGTTCAAAACCTCAAATACAGGCTTTTTCGTCATCTCAAACAATAGAAATGAATTCAATGTTAGCTGAAATTGATGCAATGTTAGAAATAAATACCAGAAGGAGGGTCGGGTAGTGAGCACTTGTTTAGAGAATTTTTGTTGGGCCCTCATGAACGTGAGACTTAAATTGTCCACCATTTTCCTAATTCTATTTCCCTTTTTTCTTGCAAGCTCGAAAAAAGATATATAGTTAACTGTTTCAGAAACTAGAAATCTGTTAACTAACTATATCTGGCTTCGAGCAAGAATTGCAAGAAGGCAGGATCACAATTGAGAAATATATTTTTATATTAATATTTTTTTTCTTATAAATTGGCGGTGTCGAAGTGAAATAAAAATCCTGCCTTCTCATGATTAAATCACTCGAAGCCAGATATATCGGTAATTCAGATATATCAGTAACCCGGATCTTTTTTCTTGCAAGCTCGAAAAAAGGTGTTATTTAGCTTCTCTTGTCCTGCAGATGAGGTCATGTGATTTAACTGTGTCCTGTGTTATGTAGCAGGTATTTTTGCAAATCTATAGGGAATAGATCAATAAATAATTAATCCGGAACGTTCTGGCATAGTACGCATATTACAAATCTTTAAATTAGTATTACGCAAGTCAATCTGATATCTTTGATATTAGAATGGGATAAGAATGGAAATTATACTAGTGATTTACAGATCTGATTCCACGAAATGTATAGCATTATCCATTCTACATAATAAAATTCTATTACAGATTATTGGTAGATTTGTATGGAGTATGAATTGGGTTTAAAATGATAAAAAAACACGTGTGATCTTCCAGATCTTGTATGATCTTAGCAATAAATAGTATATTTCTCAGTGATAACTTCAACTTTATTACTGCATATTAATTTAATATAAAACCCTAACTGGTAATCGTCAGATTTTCTTTAAAGCACTATTGTTAAATGCACCCAAATTCGATGAACAAATTGCCAAATCCAAAATTAGTATCTAATTTTTTTAGTCATGGAGGATACACTATAAAACAAGCTAAGTATAATAAAAGTTTGTTGTAAGAAACTTATCTGTACTTGCTTCGCTAATATTATTATATCCCTTGTTAATCTCCAAAACTTCGTTCTTAATATTTTAAAAGAAATAAAACATGATGCGGTACAAAATATCGAAGTTACAGAATTGCCACTATGTAAAATATGTAATAAAAAAATTTTAACAGTTAACTTTAGATCACTTACAATACTTTCATGCGGTTATGCGTATCATAGGAAATGTATTGAAAAAAATTTTTTACTTACGGAAGAGAACAAATGCCCTATTCCTGATTGCGACAAAATTGTTGATCCAATAATATCTGAACGAAGGTTTTCTGAATCATCTCAGTCTAGTGAAACTTCGGCTATTGCAGATATGTTAGGCAATAATCTTGGGTTAAATTCATTAATGAATATATCACCATTATTGGGAAGTGAAATACAAAAAAAGCGTGTTAGTAAATCTACTGACAAATCATCCAGTAAGAAAGCAAAGAAGCAAGTTTCAAAGGAAGATTCTTCTATATTAAAAAAACTTATTAAGGAATTGACATCAACGGTATCTGAAAATTCCGAGAAAATAATAGAAGTCAACGAAAATACAAATAATTTTTTATACCATTATAACAAAATTTCGCAGGCTGAATCTAAAAATAAAATAGCAAATAGAGATGTAATTGAATATTACTTTAACTTTGGTATAGTTTTAAAAAAACGATTTGATCATTACAAAAATATAAATTATGGAAAACGCGCATGTTTAGTCTTGGTTAATGGTGAAATCTGAAAACAACTTCCCGATAATATCACCAATGACATATTGAAAAAAAGAAAGAAAAGATTAGAAAAAATATATGATTTATTTGTTAGTATTGGTAAAGAGAAAATAAGTAGTATTAGATCATTTACTGCATCAAATATATCAAATCTGAGTCAAGAAAATATTGATTATATAATCGTTGAAGTTTTAAAAAAAGAAGGTAAAGTTTTATCGCTACTGCGCCACATTACTGCGCCAGTGATATGGATGTCACGTCTGAATTTATAAAATCATGTATGATATTAACTATCAGATTCCACTTTAATTAATAAAACACTTTATAAAAGTTTTGCCTATATCGGGCTGGTAATTTTTAACCAATGTATTAATTACTTATTATTACGCAAAGTGAACTGATCCCACATCGGGCCTAGTGACATGTGTTAGAATTATTTCGCATATAAATTTATCATCTTACAAGGCTTATTGTTATGCATAACTTATTTGTGAGACAGGGCATAATCTCAAAGTGCCATTTTTCATTTTTCGACCGGGGCGCCCCGGCTGAAATTAGTACACTAACCAAAGTCGGTCAATTAACTTATGCCACATCTATTGTGGAAAATTCACTCTGGACCACAAAGTGCTATACATTACGGGTTTGTATAATAAAAAATTTTAGCCACATATAGATTTTTTTTTTCTGTTAATATATAACGATGAAAGAAAAACAAATTTACTTTGAAAAGTGGCATATCTTTAGAGGTTGGAAGCATGGGTGTAAGGTTTGTGACGAATGCAATCATCATTCACATCTATATTGCAAAGCATGCAAAAAGGTGGCAGATGAAATATATAGGCGATGTGAATGCGATAACATGTTAGAATAAATTTTGCATACATATAAATTTATCTGAACTATAATACCTTACAAGGCTTATCATTATTCATAACTCATGTGGAACAAGTAAAAAGTACCATTTTTAAGTTTTTCTCGAAATAGTACCCTAATCCAAATTCGGTCAACAATCTCATGATATATATGTTATCTGTGCAACCAAATCTTTATACAAATTTTTTTGAATTTTATTTACAAACGTTCATAGAAAAAATAATACCCAAGCTTTAGATCTATTTCAAAGCCGGTACAAAAATTTATTTCTTTTTCTAACCCCTCTTTTCGCAATACTTGCTCAAAGCCAAATATAATTAGTTAACTATATATCTTTTTTTCGAACTTGAGAGAAAAAAAGGGCGAAGTATAATACATAGCGATCTTTCTTTACGCCATAATACAGAAGATGTCGAGATCTCCAACATGCATTTCACATGCCTAAAGGTCACCCTATGACCAACATAGTGTAATATAGAATATAAAAAATGGCATAAAGCACATATAGGTCCTTTTTCTGCTATTGTCCTGCCATTTGTATTGCCATTCAGAGAAGAGCGAATTCCATTTATAAAGGGGAGTATAATGAAGTTATGGGAGTTTGTCACTTTACAGTGATTAAAAAATCGAACTAATACTTATTACTTTCAAAATGTCTAATATCACTAACTTCTTTTACTGCAACCATAGTGAGACATATAGAAAATTGTACTTTAAGTCGTGGTTACTTCAAGTGTATTTTCTAACTGTAGAGCTATTGAGAAAGAGTGTTCTCGAAACGGCAGTAAAGCAATACACTGATAAGCTCAGCGATGCTATAACAATGTGTAAGCATCAAAAATTAGGTACTATTGTAAAAAAGTTGGAACAAATATCTCAGAGGTTTTCAAAGATACCCCGGGTGAGTAGTTGAAAATGATAATCAATCTATATTTCTATCGAATAAAATGATGTTTCCAATAGTGT